TACTCTTTGCCCTGTTCTTTATTCATTTTCTTCATTTTCATCCGGCGGTTCTGAAACCAGATTTTGACTTGTCTCTCGCTCAGATTGAGGAGTCTGGCCACTTCGTGCCTACGGTCCCTGGTGAGGTACATATTGAACAGAAACTCCTTCTCTAGCTCCAGCGTCTGGTATTTGGTGTAGGGACAGCGCTTTTTCCGGGAAGAGCGAGCGTGCAGCCAGTTGGCAGAAGGATTAGCTGAAAGAGAAGCAGCGATAGAATCAAAGGAAGGAAGGGGGGGGTGAAGGGTTCTCCTGTTCTCCTTCCAAGAGGGCACACCCCATCCTGCACTGGAGGGAGAAAGGGGCACCTGGGCCTTCAAGTTCCCCAGAAGGGGTCCCAGCAGTGGGTGGGGAGTCGCTATGGCTGTCTCCAGGTGAGAGGGCATTTGGACAGGAGGGAGCCAACCCTACGCCAGGCTGCTCCGCACTCCCAAAGCGCTGCCTGCCTCAGGTCCTCTTTCAGTCTCTTTCTACACTTGGGTCCAGACCCGTTAGGACTCAGGTCAGAGCCCAGCATAGTGACTCCTGCCCCCCAGCACTACTCTAACTGGGGGTGGCTGATCTGAAGGGTCCTGGCTCTAGGGTCTGGGAGGTGAGAGAAGGGTTGGACTGGGGAAAGCAGCTTCTCTTCAGCCACAGACAAGAGATCTCTTTGGCCCACCGGTCCAGTCCCAGTACACCATGCCTTGGTCATGAGCTCGAGTCTCTGGGCCACATGGCAGCAGGCATGTGTGTCTGTGTAGATATCTTGTCGCCCCCCCCCCACCGCCACACACACCACAAATATGGGTTCGCACTTAGAGACGCAAACATCCAGCACACTCCAATTCACAAGCAACCCAATTGCAACCATTTATCAACTCCAGTCTGTGGACAAGGAAGCGCCAGGGGCTCACAGATAACTTATGATTGCAATAGTCTCTCCTTTTCTGCTCCTGCTCAGCTCGCAATTTGGTTAAAGCAAGTTCAGGGAAATTGGGAAGCAAGATTACTCCAGTCCCAAGGTGGGGAGCCATGGATAAGGAGGGGTAACAGAGAGCCCTTCACAGCACACCTAACTCCAACTGACTCCATGTGGTGAAGGGGAACAGAGAAAAAGATAATGGGGGGGGAGGAAATAAAAATATGTACAGGTTTCTCTTCTCCTTACTGTCTCTCTCCCTACCCTGGAACTCAGAAAACTTGCCAAATAAAGTAGAGATATTAAAAATAATATCTCTAGATCCCTTCTTCCCAAGTAAAAAAAGCACTAAATATATATTTTAAAAAATAACCTGGTTCATCCTACACTAAGTACCATGTCTTACCAATTTGCAGCGCTATTTCCGTAATGTGATTGCCTGTGATGGGACCTACATTCACATTAAATATGAAAGAGGGGAAAAAATGTTAATAATTGATCCTAGCCAAACTGCTGACTTGCAATAATGGGCTTTCCAGGCAGAGTTTGGGGGTTTAGGGGTGGGGGGGCTCTGCTTGGGTGTGAGCAGGGAAGAGACTGTGTTACTCAAATGCCAGCTCTTGTGATTCAACCTGGCAGGTGGGACCCCACAGGGGACCTCAGGGGAATGGGGCAGTAGGAAGCCCCAAAGGGCCTGAGAGCCTATCTGTTGGTAGGAAATCTGGCAAAGCAAGCAGAGAGTGAACATCGGACCCCTACTCTCTATAAAGAGTAAGGGGTGAGGACTTGTCCTCACCAGCCTGAGGGTTATTGGTTGGAGCTGAGCCCCCAACCAATTTGCTCTTGTCAACCTTAAAAACAAAAAATACGAGACTCCCCACCACCACCACCACCCTTAGTCACAGCACCTCCGGGAAACTAGCCAAACTTGGGTTCCTGGAGGGGGTGCTTATGCAGGAGTGGGAGGTGATGAGAAACTACCGTCCGAGGGTGAAGTTCTCCACCTCTCCCTAAGCCTCTCTCCCCCCACCCTTCCTCTGCCCAGGGTCCCTTCGGGATCTCCGGTTTTCCGCTCTGGCGGTCGGCCCCTAAGTTCGGAAGTGATTCCCGACTCCCTGCGAGGCGGAAAGCACCGGCTGGGGCTGGGGAGCCCTTCGGAGAGCGGCGGAGG